CAGCGATCTCCTGTCAGTAATAACAGCTAAGAATAACCAGCATCATTTTCAACATAATGGCGATTTGCATATTTTTGCTTCTCAATTATTCGTCAAAAAGAAAACAAAATCAAATAATGCTTTAAAATATAACATGAGGGAAAACAGTAAAAAAAAAACAAAAAAAACCCACAAAACAAATCTAAATGTAATTTTCTAATTGGAAAGATTTCAACAGATATACACGTATGAATTCATTTACGAATGTGCATTTTGATGTGTAGGTGTGTGTACATAGGAACGTACGTATATGGCTAAGTATATGGGTGAACACACGTGCGTGCACACACGTATATATATATATATGGATATTTATATATACGTTGGTTCTGTAGCTACAAAAACTTCTGCATTTATCTAAACGAATTTAGATTAATATAAAGAGATTAATAATGATCAATATATGGATAAAAGCATCTTATCACACACACACACACACACACACACACACACACACACACACACACACATATATATATATATATATATATATATATGCAGGGTGTATCAAAAATACTTTTACAAACTGTGGAGGCGGGTTCCTGACACCAAAAACAAAATAAAATATCCATATAAACATATTTTCAAGAGGCCACAGTGGTACCTCAAAACAGCAACTCATAATAAATGTTCAAAATGTCCCTCGTTTGCGTCTACACGAGCATGCACCCGTCTGATCATTGACTGGTGCACCCTTTCACATACTCCCACACAGTTTCGAATGGTTTCATAGACCCCATGACACATTGATGAACCGTCTCTGCATTATTAATGTCTTCTGTATAAACCAGTTGTTTTAGGTGGCTCCACAGAAAAAAATCCAAAGGATTGAGTTCCGCGGAAAACTAAAATGTGCTGGAGCCTCATCATACATGAACCACATGTGTCTCCGTATTAGCAGGTGTACATCTTCTAGCAGGCCTGGAAGTGTGTCCCTCTTGACAGATCTTGTAAGACGTGCTGGGAGAACATATGGACATACTAGACAGTAACCTACAATTCAAGCCCACATATTAAACGTAAACTGATGCTGATGTCTAGCCTGGGGATTCCGATCCACCTACAAATTTTGGTTGTGTAAACTTGTAATTCCATCTCTTCCAGATGTTGCCTCATCCATAAACAAGACAAGAGATAAACAACGAATCGGCAGTTTGTGCAATAAACCATCGGCAAATTTTCTCCTGTGATGAGGGATCAAAGGACGAAAAACCCTCGTCACCATGCAAATGATACAGATACAGGAGCTTCTCTTGAAATACCTTCCATGCGGCAATTATGATATGTACGAGATGCTAGGGCCACTTGACGGGTTCTGATACCAGGATCGTCTCCGACTGCCTGGAAAATGTGTTCTTCGTGGTCAGGCGTAATTTGTAGTGCCACGGATCCTATCTAAGCAACGCAAAGATTAGCAGCAATAAAGTGTGGATGACTCGATTGCCTTCGGTCCAGGAATTATAAATGTAACCTAGTCTACATGGCAACCCAGCACCATATACCGTAAACTTTCTTTAAACTTAATAACTCTAATACGAAGGATTTGCGGATATATGATTATATGGACTCTTGTCCTTGTTTTCGTGTGAGGAACCCGTTCCCAGAGTTGGTAAATGTATTTTCGATAGACCCTATATATATATATATATATATAGATGGAGAGAGAGAGAGAGAGAGAGAGAGAGAGAGAGAGAAAGAAAAGGAGAAACAGAAAGTTTAAATCTTGAACAGATAATTATGCATATGATAATGTTTACTTCTATAATAAAACATGAATCTATCTATCTAGTTATCTATCTATCTATCTATCGTATTTTGGGACAGCAAATTGTCATTGAAACATGTTCTATTGAACTGGTAGCACTATAACAATAACGCCATACTGGGATTTCTGCAATTTCAATCTTTCCTTGAAATCGACTAACGATTTCAGTATCTAAAATCGGCAAGTTCTTTTACACGTTCCTACCTGAAATAGAATAACTAAATCGATTTCTTAGAACCCTAGCTAAAAATTCAGTAGACTTTCTCTGTCCATTTAACAGAACATGTTCACACACACACACATATATATATATATATATTCTATAATTATGTATTTGGGAAGCAATCCCTCGTTGATACAAATTTCATTAAAGACGAGTGACAAGGTACTGTATCGTCCTGTATATGGCTATAAACCACATCCGGCAGCAAGGCCTCTGATCAGGAGGTTTTGAGGAGCATAGAACCACCTCTTAATTGCTGGTGTTCCCAGGTCCACCCTGAGCCGGGGTAGTAGCACCTGTTAGGGTCCCAGCTATGGACAAATAGTTAAGCCCCAAACTGGGGTGAAAACACCATGAAAGTGTAAAAATAGGTTTTTATAGTAAAAATACCAGCAATACATTTTTTGAAAAAGTATTTCATGCAATATATTTGTCTCTCGATAAAAACATCTTTTAAAAAATACGTCAATGAGACCGGATCTACAAACTAATTTTCTACAAAGAATATATATTCTATTCATACGAGCCGATCCTCACAATTTTGTCGGCATTAAATAACCCATTGAAACTGATATGCCGTAAAAAATAAGATAAATAAAGGTACTGTAGTTAAGATTTTATTTAATTTTTCTTGTGTTCGTATAAGTTTTTTTTCTAATCATAAAGTGTGTAAAAATTGTTTGAATGTTCTGTATATCCGAGTCCTTTCAGCTATTCTTTTAGCCATTATCAATTGTTTTATATTTTTATTTTTAACTGAATGTGTGGGTTTTTTATGTATGTATCTAGAATTATGGGAATATTTTTTATTTTCCTAACACGGTCAGGGCTTTGTAACTTTATTCATAGTTGATGTTACTGAGTGTTGGTTTTTTCTTTTTAAAGATTTTCTCTGGTATCTGGTGTTGGAACGTTAACAGCAGGTTTTTTTGACTGCTGCAAGTTTCTTGGTCAAGGTTTTACATAACGAAATTGTTTCTTCTATAACACATTCTGTAAGTACTTATTGAGATTAAGGTCTGGAACGTTTGGTGTGGCAGGTCACATCGGCCTGGTGAATTAAGCGACTACAAACATAGAAATTTGTTACCATGAAGTGGTTACTTGATCTTCAATGATGCTGATGTATAGTGTAAGCAGTAAAGTAACTTCGATATATCTTTATTATATATATTTATGATCACTTGTTTGATCGTGGTGTGAAGCTTTATTACATATAGAAAATACATCAATTTTTATTTATAAATATATTCACAGAAACCTTTATTTGATAACTTCATATCCCATATTACTGAGTAAATCTATTATTTTATATGTCAATACGGATTTCTCGATTTTCGATAATATTTATTATTTATTAATTTTGTTAACGTTTCTAGTGTTTGCAGCATTTTTTATTGTTTTTCTGACATCCTCTCTGCTTGAATATTGTTTTGCACACTTATAGACATAAATTCTAATGATGGAACACAAGTATTGAATCAGAGTATCTGGAGAGACTGGACGCCATTCTATAATTTGCTTGCTTTGAAAACCATTTTGGTCATGTGAACAATATTCATCTTTGAAGAATGGGAAAAGCAGTCTCTTGTACGAATATAACTTTCAGCTTACAGGTTCTTGGTTGTGAACTGCACTACTCAAAAAACCTTTTACAATAATTCTTTGCATTTATTTTGATACCATCATTAACTTCGAAGGGATCTATAATTTATTGTAAATAATAATATATCACCTGTCATCTTCTAAGCTGTATTGGTTAACTATTTCTATGAAGGACCCAATTTCTACTCCAAACCTTAGGTTCTCCCAATGTAGTTCTACATTCATCGTTATAAAAGATTGTTCGGATTTTCGTAATGTAATTACATATTTTACCGCAATGTTTTATGAGCCAACCAAGCGAGGTGAAATGTTACAAAACAGTGCCAGGAATTATTGTATCATCTTTACTATCTGTGTGTCGTTTATGGAGTTTCAGATTGGCTGATTATAAATTTAAATAACAAAATATTTGCCATTGCTTACTCTATGAATGCTGAAAATGTAGTACAACTACAGAGGCATTTAAAAACTTTTGTGAAGTGTATACGGATGCAGTGAAGGCTCGTACGTCAGGTTTAAAACAGTGATTGTGATATATATGATAAGTTAGAAGATTGCACACTCTGAATGAAGAACTTGTAAAAGAGATTATTGAATAGGAACGACGTCCAATACAAGAAGTTTCATGCAAAGTTTTAATGGGTAATATTAAACTCTCTATGAAAATCTCAGCCGAACTGGAAAAACTTGGAAAAGAGAAGTTGGGCACCACATGAAATTTCGCCTACGAACCAAACTCAACGTTTCATCATCTACAGTAGTACTTTAACTCTAAAGGTAAACCTTTCATTTTCGCATTGCATTGTTAAAGATGGTGAAAAATGTGTTTTGCATGTCAACAGAAAACGAAAAACAGAGCGGTTTACACCGAAAGAGAAAACAGTACCAATGCCCATTTCTTGTGTCTGATGGAATATGAAAGGTGATATTTATTACGATCGACTGGATCAGGGAAGGAAAACACTACTGACATTTACTGAAAGCAACTTAATCAGGTAAACGAAGTATTGTACTTGAAAGTGCCCTGCTTTGATAAACATAAATAGTGTTACATCCGGGCATAACAAATGTATAGCCACACTACAAGATTGGTTTTCTTGATTTGTTTTTTACAGCTTATCAACCTTTTGCAGTTTATTTAACGCCAGGAATTTTCTTTTATTTAAATGGAGAAAAAAATGTAGATTTTAAGTTCTGCTAATTAACACATAGCTGGTGCAAGCAGATGTAAATTTATATCTCTCCCAAGACTGGAATTGGAACTCGCCTCCCCGTTTTTCAACTCCGAGCCGTTATCCATTATACCACCCGCACATCTAATTTTACAACACCTGGTATTCCCAAGCGGTCACCAATCTAGGTACTTACCAGGAAATATACATCTGTCAAATACATCAACCTGCTCCACCCGTTGAGCATATTGATGCACCCGTTGGGGCACGTTGTTGCAGGACTAAAGAAATTGATACAAAGAATTAACAACGCAAAAGTGGGCTTAAATGCTATTTTAATGTATCCAAGAGCATATATGAACCAAGAGAAGTAAAATAAATGATAGTAAACCCGGCAACGTATACTAATGAGTAAATATAGGGCTACTAATCAAAATCTACTCATTCGCATTATTGCACCTCTAACAAATATAAACAAAGTTTCTCATACCAAAGTCAATCCATTCCTTGTGATCACAGTCTTCACAACCCGAACATTTTATCCACTCCACACCCACCCAAGATTTTCCATAAAATTTCCACAATAAATGCAATACAACTCATTGCGTCTGATTCACAATCGGAGTAAACAATCGCTGGTTTTAATTACTTTGATATTTTTCTTCCTTTACTGACAGGTGCTTTTTTTTCCGTCTCTTTCCTTTTCCTTTTGCCCTTTCCATTCTTTTGTCCCTTCCTCCCACACCTGAAATTTTCTTGTCGTTGTTCGTTTTCTTAGTTGACTGAAGACTTTTCACTGGTGTGTCGGTGAGAATTTCGCTTTTCCTCTTTCTTTAGTCTTGACGTGTAAAGGGATAGGATGAATATCCTGGGGGCTAAACAATTTTAAAAAACCATTCTGTACTGTAGTTTGGGGTTGAAAATACGGTGCTGGTGCTAGCTGCAGGCATAGCACTAGTGCTGGGACTTAGAGGTGTAGTGCTGGTGCTAGGAACTAAGGGTATAGTAACTAACACTGAGGCTTGGAGATGCAGGAGCTATCTTAGTGCTGAGAGCTGTAGTCGCTGTGCTGGTACTAGGTGCTGAGTACATTGTGTTGGTACCACGAGTTTCAGGCCTAGTGACATTGTGCGCATTATCTGTTAAGATCTGTGTGCTTAAATAAGCATCAGTAAAAAGGTATTTGTCGACAGGACAGATACCTGTGCATTTGAAGGACTCAATGATTTTATTTCGAGCCATCACTTGGGGTAAAGTCAGTCCAACAATTGATGGGATGTCATTAGTCTTCCTGGATTTTGTCTCGTTCAAGTATCAGCACTATTCTACACATATATTTTGAAAGATCATCATAGATCATAGAATCAATTGTATGAAGTATGTAGGGTGAATGAGGAGGCATGGATAGCTGGGTAATTTGATTTTCCGAAATGACAACATCAAGTCCTTACGAGCACTTTTGTCACAATTCAGTACATTCAACTTAACAACGCATAGATAGACCAACATTCTGCACTCAAAATAAGGCCAAAATACTGTTGGTTACTTTCCTGTAGATATGAAACAAGTGCTTGATCCTGCTCCTCATTAAACACCTTTTTGTGGGTGCTATATCCGATGACCACTAATAGCTGTTTATTTGCCCCTGGGTCAAGTGGTGTGTTCTGTTATCCCCTTTCTCACGTTTTAATATAGTAGCCATGAGTGAAATTATCAAGGTTATGGATTTTTGAGGTCATTTGTGAACACCGCCAGTCCTTGCTTGAAGACGTATTCGTTGATCTGACCTCTCGTTGTTTTCTTTTTGTAGGTTCCCCTGAAACAAACAAATGAGTCAAAGAAAGATTTTTAGGCATATTAAAGACGGAGAGAGATAGAGAGAGAGAGAGAGAGAGAGAGAGAGAGAGAGAGAGAGAGAGAGAGAGAGAGAGAGAGAGAGAGAGAGAGAGAGGGGAGGCATAAAAACCACGGAAATAACAGGGTGAATAAAAGTAATCGTAGATAAGTAGAAAAAATAAACATTTAGGCATATGAAACACAATAATAAAACAACGTAATTAATTGAAGAAATAGACGACCTACACATTGGTGTAGCATATCTACGGACGATAATGAGTATGTCTACATTCACATACATACAGTACAGTAATACATAAATACAGTACTGTATGTTCGTCTAAAGTTGGAGATTCGTCTCCAGCTGTGCTGGTCAAACTCTCTGCCTCCAAGCAAAAAAGTATCCCCAGGCGAGGCTATGTCGATTGGCAGAGTTCCGTCTCGGGATACAGCTACCCGACCACGTTTTATACGGGGTCTACGGGGAATTTATGACCGAGCCTACGGGCTCGGATACCCAACATTAAATACGGCCTTGTGCCACATTAGACCACGTTACAACAGACATGTAGAAAAAAAAACTGAAAACTAAAAATGGAACACAAAATTAAAACTTAAAAATACACAAATAACATTAAAGTACTATGCAAAAAACAAAGAAAGAAAGAAAAAAAACAGGAGATAATTGTGTTCGAAACCACATTCGATAAGAGAAGACCATCGAAAAGTGCATTCTTCAGTTGGCTCTGTGATACCGCTAAATTATATAAATCTACATTACAAATTATGACAAATCTAAATTTAACAATAAATGGAAATTAAAAAGTATTGGGTCATATTGATGCAGTGCATCAGTGCTTCATAGTTTGCATCATCCTACCCCATCACCTAAGGAAATTGTTAAAGACTTGATGGTCAACACCAATTATTTGCAGAACTTTGGCAAGTGATCTCTGTTAAAGGAAAATTATAGTAGTTTATCATATTACAAGATGATAAACATATTTGCAAATAAATTTAACTTAGAAATATATTAGAACAAAAATATTTTTTACTTACTAAAGTCGGTGATTTTTCACAAATTTGGTACAAACTTCCTCTATTCGCAGAGCTTCGACGAAAAATTTAAAGAGGAACGAATCAGGGAGGCTTAATTATTCATGTGCCGGTCCTACTTGCAAACGAATAGACGCTTCCATTTCTAAAATAATCGTCTCTGCATCAATGTATCCCGCCCTACCCTATGTGCTTCGCTAGGGCTGCATACGGCTTTGAATTCCGTTTTTTTTCATCTAGACTTCTTTCTAACCACGTTTGGAGAACTCAGTCTTTTCTACTATTTAACCCATAGATGGGCCGGAAGAGAAGAGATGGACTCATACCCTTCCCAAGGATAGTTGTGCGAAAGTCAATAATAATGAATTTGGCCGCAGTTCGAATTCGTGCCGAGCAGGCATTACACAACCTGCACATCTTTAGGATGTGCAGACGAATAATAATAATAATAATATTTAAGTATAATATTTACTTTAATAAAAATATCCTAAGCATCAGTTGCTTTATTTTAGTTTTATTGTGAACAGATTGACTTGCATAATAAATTCTAACATTGTGTATATTTCCACCTCTTTGCGTAGACATATACATATGTAATACATACTCAACATTTGAGTGTTTGCATAGATTATATACATATATGCATTCAGGTATATTTTCTTTTAATTTCCCTTTGTTTATTCCAGAGTCGTTGTTCATCCTTCGTCTTGTTGTCAATGCATCTCAGCAAACGAATTTTCAAACATGTCTGTAGAAGTTACTCTGAGTTCTTTACTTAACCCGAATCCGTGCAGTTGATCTAAAAGATAAATTCCCCAGGGAAAGATACCTGCAAATAAATATTCGTAAGCAGCAATTAAATAGACAAATAAGAAAGCAAGATTTAATAACATGTCTAAGCACGTGTATCTCCAGAGAATATACTCAATGTTTTAAATACAGACTCAATAAATATATTCATCAATTCACTAAACTGAGAATGTTCAACAATTTTCCTTCCTTCGCCTTCTATAAGAAAAAAGTAAAAAATCATGTTAAATTAGGAAACTCATGGAATAAAACAAAGAAAATATAATGACAATTACTATTTTCTATTTCTGTTTAGATATTACGTCTTTGCCTCCAACTTTATGTACTTAAACCAGACGTATTGTTATCATTTTGGTGTTGTTTTTAAACCAAAATAGCATCAATGTATCTTTCATATTGCTTTCGGTCATACAATGCTTTCTGTTTTCCATAATTACTAATGAAATTAAGTATACTGATTTTCTGTTTTAAAAAAAGTTATTATTTTTTATTCTTATCTATTTTCATGGGTTATCGATGATTATGATCTTAATTTTGCCCGGAAAATATTTTTCTTTAAACAGTAAAACAAAATTTGTTAATATCAAACAACTTTCTATTTAAATATTGGTCATCTCCTTTCTTAAGAATGTGAAAATTGTTATCAGCAAAGGCGATCTAAAAGCTGTTTTTGCCTTTAAACAACATTCAGTAGTTCCAAATTTTATTTCAATTTACTTTGCATTTTTACGGTTTTTAAATATTTCCCAAAGCAATGCTTTAGTGTTATGGTGAAAATTCAGTTAATTCTCTATTTTATTTTATTTTTTTAAATATTAACCTATTTAGGCATTAACTTAAAATGTTTTTCTCAAAAATGAAGTTTCCCAAAGAAATTTCCAACGTCTCTAAAGAGTCAATATATATGAAAAAATACAGCCATACTTTCATAAAAATGGAAACAAAATAAGGCTCAAGTTTAGCATTGTACTTATACTGCAAATCGAAACCTCACAGATATAAGAATGGACATAAAGTTAGGGCCTAGTTTTGACTTACACTCACACTATAAATCGAAGCCTCATTTTCAAGATACTTCACTAAGTTCCCCTTTAAAACTTAATAAAATAAAATCTTTTTAGATCTAGAAAAACTAGACAATACAGAGAGCCTTACGATGTTGATGTTTTAAATGTAAAAGAACATTAACATAGAAATGGGAGAGGCGCAAGAATCAAAACACTAACAATGTCCATAGAACGAAGACGCGACGAATTACAACAATCACAACTCATACAAGATATGATAAAAAGTCATCAAATGAAGGTTCAGTCAAATGGAATCATAGGTTCTAGGGAAAATGCAAACATGAAAAGTAATGAGGGATGAAATAAGCAAATCCCCAAAGAAATAAACGTGTGTGCGAAAAAGACATATTACTAAGTCACTAGTGGTAGCCTTTGAAAATAAGTGAATATAAGTTACATAAAAACCAGACTAGATAGATATCAAGAAGAAAACCAAAAGATGAAAGCGCCTGTCGTTTATATGACGATGCAGATGAAGACATAAGAAATAAAAATTAAAAAATTATGGTTGAATCCATTAATTCACTGTGACTCGCGAAATGACTTGTATTTGACCCTGGAAAAGAAAAGAAAAGAAAATCTCAAACCACAGAGCAAGAATACAAATATCAAGAATTCGCCCCAGAGCTGTGGAAAAATCTCAGACCTCATAGCGAGAATACAAATATCTGGAATTCGCCCCAGAGCTGTGGAAATTATGCATTTGGAGGGTAACAACTCTGCTCATAATCCTCACATTAACGACTTTCAAAATATTCACGAAGGAACTTGATGATGAATATGAGGAAGAACACGAGCGCGCGCGAGCATGCGCGCGCGCACACACACACGCACGCACGCACACACACGCGCACGCACACGCACACACGCACGCACGCACGCACGCACGCACGCAAGTACATATTGAAACAAATTAAACTGCTTAACTTGTCCTTACTCAGAGTTTAGCTGATTTAGTTTTCACATTTCAGGTAACTTGTTAGTAAGATAGAATTCATTTGCCGAAATCATATTCCTGTAGAAGAAAGAAAGTCATGATTTCTGTAAATAAATTCAATCATATTATGAAGCTTCTCCCACGGTCGGATTGATGCTGTCTCGAAAGTCGGAACAAAGATGCTTAGCATTTAATCTGAAAAAGAATTATTAATGCTCAGCCACTTCATCTTGTTTACAAAGAAAGCTTGTCATTTTTCCCAGAAATACACAGCTTAATTACTATTTTTTGAGAGAAACAAATTCTTTCTGTTTGACATGCATACAATGAGTAATTGTTCTTTTATTAAATGATGCGAGATATGCCTCATGCAATCCTCTACTTTTACACGAGCCAGCTCAGGCCGAAAATGGAATAGTGTTGTCAAATTTGGGCGCTTTCCAGTCTCGATAGAGCTCAAAGGCGTCCCCGAGTCCTTCTGGGTGACAAATTATTTTCCGCCCACCAAACTCTTTCCCCAAACCGGGATGCGGCAAGCCTTTCATTGCTCTGTCTTTACTTCATGAAAGTGCTCGGACGAACTACATTCCTTGGTTCTGCCAGTTCTTCACGGCTAGGATTCGCCATGCCACATATTGTCGCAAGCCACCCACATTTCCTCCATATTCCATAGGTGAGAAGTAAATTCCACTTGAACAGCTTCTTCCCGCGAGCCACTGCTCTGTGGAATTGACCCCCAAGTGGATGTTTCTTCGCGTTGGCTCCGGATGTTGTACAGAGTGAACATCAATGTAAAAAAAAAATCAAATTTAACGAAAAATTACTATACATTTTCTACAGATGCACGTCTTTACATTCGCATTTCCAGTTCCTCACATCAGAGCAGTAGTTGTTTCAGAAGATCCGTCGTTTTTTCTTCGCTTCTGGAACCGACACGAAACGGTTTCTTTTTGATGAAAAATTACTTTTGAAGGAAAGAAAAATTCGCATGGTGAAGGATTTGTTTAATCGGGATGATGATCAAATACTGCGACGATATTTTACGGAAAAGTCTGTTTCAGTGAAACCGTTGAGTTTGTTGTTTTTCTGATATAGATTGTAACCAAAATCATATGACTATGGCCCATGTCTTCTGAAACTCACTTGCAAAGTGCCTGAAAACTGTCTTTTAATAATGTTGGATTACATTAGTTCCATCTGAACCCAATTTTCCGTAATGATACAGTCTATTTACAGGGTAGGATGGGTAAATAGTCTCCAGTTCATATGTTTAATTTCGCGCATGCGCGTTGTTTGTTTTTGATTTTGTCTAATGCACAGAATA